TGGCACATCTAGGTCCCTGCAGCTGTAATTGCCCATTATGCAAATAATGACATTCCCTACTTTCCTGTGCCCTCCTCAGTAATAATACATGTTGGTCATTTAGTTGACATCTCAGCTGAATTGGAGATGCAGTCAGAAAGAAGGGTCATTCCCCAAACTTGCTGGTTGTATTCAAATTACCAGCAAATTCCAAGTAAAATCTGCAATGAAAGTGTGAATGAAGCTGGTGGAAACTTTGAAGAAAAGGGATTCACAGGTTCTAAATGGAACAGGAGCATCAGGAGAGAGAAAGGGGAAAGGAGAAGAAGAGACGAGAGACCAGAGGACATGGTTCAACTTCATCCATGCAGGAGAGGAATAATCTGCTCACACCTGAAGAAGAGCTTTGGGTTAAGTGAGACACTGGAGTGGAAATGATGGTCTTGCAATCTTGGAGTGGGATTGCAGAGCTGAGAAATAAGGAATCAGGGTGAGCAGAAGGAATCTTTTACTACAATGCAATGAACGGAAAGAAATGGAGCTAGTGAAACTTGGCTGTAGGAGTTCTGTGTTTGGGATTGAGGTCTAACTTCATGATGGGGACATGCTTGGTAACTAAGAAGTTTATGTGCAAAGACACAGAATGCCTGACTGCTAGGAAGTTTCTGTGCAAACAGGGAACACCTGGCTACTGGGAAACTCCTGTGCAAAAGCATGGATGCCTGGCTGCTAGAGCAATATTCTTCACAAGTTAGCCTGTTTCCCAGGCTTGGAATGCCCAGCAGCTTCCCTTGAAACTATTAGGATAACTCTGCAGGTGCACTATCTAGTTTCCATGTGGATGCCCTTGGAGGAAAGGGGCTCTGTGTTTGTATTAACCTGGACCTTATCTCAGTTAGCTCAGAGTTAAAGAAATACTAGTTAGAATGTAGTCGTGGTGGTGGGTAATATGTCACTTTTGGGGAGTTAATTTGCGGCAGCAGAGAGGAGCAACCACCCTTTTGTCTGTCACCTTTGCCTGCCTACTTGTACCCTGTGAGTGTGTGACTGTCCTTTGTTCACCTTTTCACAGGTTTTCTCCACAGGTATTCTTTACCCTTGGCATGTACACCTGTAATCCCAGTGACTTGGGAGGCTGAGGCAGGAGGATTGTGAGTTTAAGGCCAGGCTTGGGCAACTTAGTGAGAACTTGTCTCAAAATAAAATAAAAAGGACTGGGGATATTGCTCAATAGTAGAGTGTTTGCTAGTATGTGTGAGGCCCTGGGTTCAATTGCATACACATACATACCACACACACACACACACACACACACACACACACACACACAATCCATAGTCAAGGATTAAATGAGGCAATAAATTATATTTAGAAATTATAAAATTTACTTTTTTAAGATCCCTCTCTTTCATATCTTAATATTACTGTTAAACTTTTTCTTTTAAATTTTCATTTCAAGCTAGGTGATGTGGCACACACCTGTAATTCTTGAGGCAGGAGGATTACACGTTCGAGGCCAGCCTCAGCAACTTAGCAAGACCCTGACTCAATTTTATTTTAAAGCGGGGGGTAGAGGGTGGCTGGGGATATAGTTCAGTGGTAAAGCACGCATGGATTCACTCCTCAGTATGAAAAAACAAAACAAAACAAAACAAAAAGAAGTTTTCCTTCAGGAGAAGAAGAAAAACAGCACAAGTGTGGCCTAGCACAAAGGGCACAGATGACGTCGGGGTTTCTGAATCGTTAGCTCCATTCCAGCAGAGATTCCCTCATTGTTTATTCATATGACCTCAGGTAAGGCATTTCAACTCTCTGACTTTCAATTTTCTTTCCCGTGGAGTGGGAGCATAGGGATAATGGTCTCCTCTGGTTCTAAAACTGTGTGTTTTTACCTGTGTGGACGCCTCTCTCAGTGCCTACCCCTAATAGACAGGGTGAATGGAGCCCAAGGCA